TTGGTTTTATACCAAAAAGAGATAAAGGAAAATACATAATTTCGATTGTTATAAATGGTATAGGAACTATTTTAGATTAAACATTTAGTTTTGGGTTGTTTTGGGTTGCTTATGAAGAAAAAAAATACACAGCTCTTTTAATGTAATTTTTACATTCTGAAATTCATTTTAGATTTATTTAAAAACAAAGGCTTTTCATTTACATATATTTTGAGCGATCAGTGTTGAAGTGCTTACGATCTTTAAATAATTAAGGTGTTAAACTAAAAGTCCTGGACTGGCAAACTTTAAAACATATTTCAAGTACCCCAATCGAGGGTATGAACAGCTGGGGCCAAGTGAAGCGCTGGGAATACAGTTGCATAAATTTATTGAAATTTGCATTTCGGTTTTCGACGTTTTCGCGGCTGATGTTGCTGCCGCTGCTGCGTTTTCTGCACTGCCGAGGTTTGGCCTATAAAAAATATGGCATCGATTGATCGCAACGCAAGATATTTCAATTAACGTAAATACATTTTTGTCGTTGTTGGCTGGGGACAATCGGACGGACGGATGGACGGGGACACGCACAGCGCTGCATGAAAGAGAAATCGATGATGTTCGGAAACGGACAGACGACCCAATCGACCCAGTCGGAGATACATTTTTGTGCCGTACGATGCGTAGATTAACTTATGGTCGTGTCGTCGTTAATAATGGCCACTGATAACGAGCCGATCTATGTATGCAAATTTCCCTACTCGTTAGCCAGCGACAAATATAGGCAGGCACTCGATTTGGAATAGGAGCGTGTGTGGGGTGGGATTGTCAGCGATTTCTTCCCAGGATCGGACTGTTTCCTTTACAAATAAATATATTGCAAGTCAAGCGAACATGATATCGTCGTAGATCGTAGATCGAGGCTGTACCTGCAGGGCGGCAGTCGGACTGCATTAGGGATCCTCTGGCGTTATGGTTACGTGCATTTGCTTGACACCACGCAGGATCACTATATCCAAATTCTTGCTATTATCCGCCAGAGCATCGTAGACATCCGAGGAGTTCTTGATTTCCTTCTTGTTTATGTGGGTCACAATGTCGCCGGGTTGCAGTCCACCACTGGAAAATAAACGGGAGAAATGCACTTTTAAATTCCTGAATTTACATAGGTTTTTAGAGAAAAATGTTGAAAAAATTTAAACTAGAGCCCTGCGTGAATAATTCATAGTATGCCATGAAATTTCCGATTAGTTTAATTCAATTCTATGTGAAATAAATTGAATGTTTTTCTAATTCATTTCAAATTGAATGAATAAATGAATAATTTTTATGAATTTTTTGAATTTGCCAATTTTGTTTGTGCTTTCTTTTCAGGACAAAAAGTGGAAAATTTTTAATAAATCAATGTTAACTGTTTAGTAAATAAAATTCAGGCAGATTTAATCACAAAATTATGGCCCTTTCTTTTTCAAAAGAAATTGTCGTTTAAATTATTGTCATTCACTCATTCAATTCTATTAAACTCAAAATTCAAATTCATTCAATTCTATTAAACTCAAAATTCGAATTAACTCATTCATATAAAACAAAAAATTAAAAATAAGTCATTGATTCCATTCATGCAGGGCTCTAATTTAAACAAATCTTTTACTGCTATACCTGATTTACCTAGCAAATAAGTGTAAATCATTATGAGATATTTGCCCTTGTATACCAAAACTTAACAAATAAAATGTAAAATGTCTCCAAGACACCGATTAAAATCATTCAGAGGTTAAGAAGATAACCCTTTTTTAGATATACACCCACCTGTGCGCCGGTGACCCCACGATGACCTTCCACACGAGCACGCCGTGCGTGAGATTGCTGGGCATGTTCTGGCTCCGAGACTTGAGCTCGAACAAGATGTCCGGCGTGAGCGTCAGCATGGTGATGCCCATGTACCGCTTCACCGGATAGCCGGTCTTGTAGGCCGAGCCCTTCTTGCGCCGCTCGGCCGCCCGCTCCAGAAAGACCTTCACATAGTCGATGGGTATGGCAAAGCTGATGCCCGCCGTCACCTTCATCGAGTTGACGCCAATGGCCTCGCCATCCAGATTGACCAGGGGTCCGCCGGAGTTGCCAAAGGTGATGGCCGCATCCGTTTGCAGATAGTTGATGTCCCTGTTGCGAAGGCCCAGTTCTTGGGAGGCACGTTGCGTGGAGCTGATCACGCCGGCGGTAACGGTGTTGCTCAGGGCCAAAGGGCTGCCCAGGGCCACCACCCACTCGCCGGAACGCAGGGTACTGCTCTTGCCCAGCCGCATCACCGAGAGATTGTTGACCTGTTTGGAATACACAAGGGATTAGACTTTGAATACAGACTTTAAGGATGATTTCCCACCTGTATGCGCAGCGTGGCCAGGTCGGAGGTCTGATCCACGTCCTCGATGGTGGCGGGAAAGGTGCGGCCGTCGGACAGCCTCACCTGGACCATCGTGTGCGGCTTGTTGATCACCACATGGGCGTTGGTCAGGATGAGGCCGTTCTGTTCGATGATGAAGCCCGAGCCATTCGAGGCCGTGATCGGCTGGCCGCTGAAGTAGTCAAAGTGTCGGGTGTCCTTGATCTCGATGTAGACCACCGAATCCGCACAGCCGGCCACCACATCCGCAATAAAGTTGAAGTCCCGCCGACGACCGGTCATTTTGGAGGCGGCGATCGTGGGCGTGAGCTCCTCGCGCCTGATGGCCAGGGCACTGGCCACGGCGCCCAGGGAGAAGGGCACAAAGAAGCGCACCAATCTCCGCCAGCCTTTTTCATTTTGCCCGCCATTTTGCCGATCTTGCCCACTGTCACTGTTACTGTTGCCATTTGCATGATCGCCGCCTTTTATCGTTACGTGGCTGCTGCTCCGGTGCGGGGCGTGGCTGTGGATCACCGGGGATGCCAAGCAGCGTCTGAGGATCACTTCCAGGCGGTGCGAACCGCGCAAAGCCATCGATTTATGTGATTATTCCGGGTTTGTTATTGTTATTTAATTTCTCACTTCTCAGCTGGCAGCTGATTTCAATTTGGCACTCTGCCACAGAAGCTGCCTGCTGCGATACACACGACTATCGATAGGCGATAGGCAGTGCAAACAGCTGTTGGCCGCGATGCTTCTTCTTCGCATTAGGGGTGCTCCGCTGTTTCTTCACGAGAATTTGGCTACTGGACATTTAACAGCTTTCCATTCAAAAAATCATTAATATTCTCCGCTGCTTGAGTAGGAATACTATTCCAAAGCCTGCTGTTTTCAAATTGAAAAACTTCATTTTCAATATCCTGGGTTTGGAGATGTTTATTAACAACTGTAAGCCAATTATAAATAAATTTATTTTTATACCCTTGTAGAGGGTATTATAATTTCAGTCAGATGTTTGCAACGCAGTGAAGGAGACTTTTCCGACCACATAAAGTATATATATTCTTGATCAGCACCAATAGCCGAGTCCATTTAGCCATGTCCGTCTGTCCGTTTCTATGCGAACTAGTCTCTCAGTTTTAAAGCTATCGCGATGAAACTTCCCGAAAGTCTTCTTTCTATTGCAGGTCGTACATATGTCGGAGCGAGCCGGATCGGACCACTATATCTTAAGGCTCACATAGGAATATTCAAACAAATATAAGAAAATTCATTGTAACTTTGTAGGAAGTAGGCGTTTTGATTCTTGACTACTTAAAAACAAAATTTAAATAAATAGAAACGCTGAATCTGGAATCCCTGGAACTGCACCGAGTAAGCATTCTTTAATCTACAAGGGCATATAAGCTTCGGCTGGCCGAAGGTAGCTTCCCTTCTTGTTTTTATTTAATTTAAAAGACTTCTTATTTTAATTGAATTTTCAAATAGGTAAATTTACCCTTTTTTTTAAAGTATGTTAAAAAATGTTTTAAAAAGTTAACTAATATTATTCCACATTATACTTAAAGTATTTAACTATAACTACACCTTAGTTTCATTTTCCAATAGTTTTTTTAAAATAGGAAATTAAGTAAACAAATGGAAATTTAATAAATATTAAATTTAAACCTAGCTAATTTATAGCTAGTTCAAGAGCACCCATAACTTGAAGTTACAGCACTGCCACAGCTGTTGCCTCTGCTCTTCTTCTTGCTCCCACCAACACATTTCGCTTTGCATAACAGTTGGGGCCAATTGTTTAGTTAAAATAAATCAATTAAAATGTCCAAGGCAGCGGGCAAACTGAAATCCCTGAAGAAGACAGTGGAACGTGTGACGCACACGAGCAAACTGAAGACGAATATACCCGCGGGAATGGCCGCAGCAGGTCCTCCATTGGGACCAATGTTGGGACAGGTGAGTGCTAGCCGGCATTAAATTTGAAATCTTAGCTGTAACTTATCGTAAATTCCACAGAGAGCCATTAATATCGCCGCCTTTTGCAAGGACTTTAATGCCAAGACGGCGGAGATGAAGGAGGGCGTACCGCTGCCCTGCAGGATTTCCGTGAACAGCGATCGCAGCTACGATCTGGTCATCCATCATCCGCCGGCCACCTTCTTCCTGAAGCAGGCGGCGGGCATCCAAAGGGGCACCATGACTCCCGGCAAGGAAGTCGCCGGCAAGATCACCCTCAAGCATTTGTACGAGATTGCGGCCATCAAGATCCAGGATCCGCCCAATGCCCTGCTCACCATGCAGGTAAGTCCTCCAAGAACTGTATGTTCTTTACAAAATACTATCATGTTCATCAAGTTTATAAAACTAGAAATACCCACTTAGCTTAAGATCCAACTACAATTCTTCAATTCTTTGATTGATTACATTATCTTGAGATATTTTTTCACTATTTATTTCTTTTCTTTTTTTCAAGCAAATGTGTGAGATGCTCATCAGCATTGCCCGCACCTGTGGCATCCAGGTGGTCAAGGAAATCGATCCGGCGGCCTATGGCGAGTTCCTGGAGGAGCGAAAGACTATTGTGGAGCAGCAACGGCGCGAGTTGCAGGAGAAGCGGGAGGCCAAGATGTTGCGCACGGGCTAGGTTTGCTAGTTTGCACAGTGCTTTTAATTGTTAAAAATACATTTATACTTAAAGTGAACGTCTAAGGTCTTATTCTATGCCAATGCGTTTTCGGTCCTTGGCGGCGTTCTTCTTGCGTCGTTTCTCCAGGTGTTTGTTGAGTTTTCCCGTGTCCTTCAGCTTCTCAAATTGGGCCACCAGTTCCTTGGCACGACGCTCCTCTGTGTGGGATAAAAATATTATTATTATGTATTAGAAACTTCATAGTACTTTCATACAACTTGAAACCTACTCTTTGTAAGATAGTGAGGCTGCTGTCCTAAATTGTGTTTCTTCTGAATGCCAGCGCGCTCCTTTTTGAGCTGCTTCTGCTTGGTGTGCCACTTCTTATCCTCCACATTCTTGTTGATCAGTCGTTGCATGTTGTACTTTATGTTCTGCTTTTCCTCATCATCCTCCACCTCGTCCAATTGCTTCTTCAGCTGACCGACTTCCTTGGTTCGAATTTGTGACACAAACTGGTAGTTCTTCTTAAAGGTTTCCGCATTATAAGATCCCGACTTCTCGTCGAATCGTGGATCCCGAAGTTCTGCAGTTTTCTTGCGCTCCACTCGGTGTTCGGCGCCCAGAAATGGAACCTGTCTTCTGGTGCTCATTTCACGGGGTCGATTTTTGTTCAGGCGCTTGAGGTCGGTTTTGGTTTTGGGTTTCGGGGGTCGCGAACTCTTGCCCCCAAGAACGGCCTCTTTGTACACCTTGGCGCCCAGCTGCTCCTTAAGTTTCATTATCTCCTCGAAGGACATTCCCTTTAGATCCTCGCGAATGGCATTCTGAAAGTTGTGTTCTTGTTGATGTGAAGGAATTTTAAGCCTAATTGGATTAGTTTCACCTGAGTTTCATCGTCACTGCTTGCCTCGTGCTCAGAGGCTGAGGAGGAGTCACTGGGATCCGACATATCCTTCTTTAATTCCTGCAAAACCGTATTTATTTACTTTTAAAATATTTCACGTGTGATTGTTTTGCATTCAAACAGCTGATTGCTGAGCTCGATAACGATAGGCAACGAAGCGATAGACGTTACTCAACACTGTTGACCGCTAAATTTGAACTGTGGGTTGATAGTGAAGTTTTAAGAATTCTTTAAGATAATCTTTTAAATTAAAAATACCAAAACGAAATCCCACTTAAATGCAACACTTTGTTTTAGAGTAATTCTCAATGGTGTGATTTATTTTTGATTTAATTGCAAGTCTTACATAGTTAGGTAAACAAATGTGAATAGTTCTTAGATCGTTGGGAAACAGAAACAAGCAACGAAATTGTTGAGAAATATACACAATTAAATGTCACAACTAATTCCAGAAAAAAAGGGTCGAATCGGCTCGTAAAGTTGTCTGGATTTTGATTTTGAAGCGAGCGGCAGAGTAACTAGAAAAATAGTTTTTAAAGTTTATCCTTGTTGACAATTAATAGCTAAATTTGATTAGCACACGCAGACCAGTGGAAAAATTAAATGAGATGCCCTTAAACACGTTAATTCTAAGCAATTCAGTTATAGTTACATTAGTCACATGTAAATATTTTATATAGGTTCCGTATATATATAAATATTAGTTTTATTTTATATTTATGCTCTATAGTTTATAGTTTGCTTTGTACACGTACACACAGATAAAGTAAACTTGATTGCAACAACTAGGAGAGTGTGGGACCGGATTATTCGTATTAACCGAGTGCGATTATATGCCAAATATCTATAGTATTCGTATTTTGTTTGAGTTCGAGTTCAAAAATTGACTGCTGTGTATCTTTAAGCTAATATTTATATTTATACAATCAAACACAGTAGGAAAGGTATTATTCATTCATCATATCATCATCATCAATTGCTGCCTTCTGTTCTGTTCTGTTTTCGAGGGGTTCGATTTCTCAATATTTGTGCTGTGCTCACAATCGTGTGGGAAATATCATATAATATTGCTATAGTTTGCTACGTAAACACACACGTCTGTGCATACATTAATATTAGTTAGCTATATAAAGTAGATTTCAAGCCGATCACAGGCGAGGACTAGTGGTGATCCCTTCCTCCTCCTCCTTCTTTTCCTGCTCCTGATGCCCAATGCCTGGACTATAGCCTCAAAAATTCTTAACTAGGGAGTTTCATATAGTATTTCATACGTTTGACTAGCACGATTTGGTTAGGGTAACTACGTACACTCTTAGCTAGTTGGTTGGGATTCGATCTACTTAGTTAGCTTAGTTGCGCGGTTTTAATCACCTAAAAGCGACAGACAGATGACAGATAGATAGAGAGAAAGGATAGTATCCGACAAAAGGTTCAACCCGGGGGCTTCGCACCTTCGGGACCTTAAATAGATCACATATTTTGACATTCACTTATGCTTAATATTGCAACTGCATTTGCTTCTGCTTAATGCTCATCCGTTTGTATATGGATAGTTATAGTACTTAAAACATATTTCAAACATATACATATACCCCTGCATTTGTCTTCGACTTCGATTAAATTTGAATGGGATTTTATAGTTATAATGGATTACAATAATTCAGTTGATCGTTATTCGTTTAAATATTTTAAAGTAAGTAGAGGGCTTTACAGAAAAATAATATAAAAGATTGTATTTAATTGTGAACTATCCAAAAACCCACGGCTTCTAAAATATATTAGTTTATTATCAAGTAGGTAACTAAAACTCAGAGTTATGTTTTGCTTATCAATAAAACTTCCGTTCAAATTTAATCGAAATCGAATCCTAAACACTGTAATATATACAGGTAGAGCACAACAAGTTTTTGTGAATTTTGCAACCCCAAAATCCAATATCCAAAATCCAATTAGAACTCGGTCATCCCCCCTCCGCACTTGTGGTCAGTCTCACTGCCCGTCGTGCTGGAGGGAGTCGCCATATTCTAATTGGACGGCTTTCGTCATAACAACGCGCACAGTTTGGATCGCTTCTTGGACTTGTCCACCATCTGGCCGCCGGCCGAGGAGGTCGACGAGGAGGCGGACATGCGGCCCATGCTGCCGGAGGCCTGCGGTTGCGAGGGACTCGTGGGACTCTTGTCGTCCATGTCCTCGCTGACGTGGGACTCCAGGAGCTTGAGCGAGGTCTTCGGCTTCGAGCCATCCATGCTGTTGTAGAGCGTCTTCGAGAGCTTCGATCGCACCGCCTTGCCCAGGGCCCCGGTCTTCTTCATGCTCAACCGGGAGCCACTTCGCTGGTGCTCCGGCGTGTGGCTATCCTCGCTGCCATGCTGCGATTGCTGATTGCAATTGAGGGTGGTCACCGTGAACTCGATGTCCTTGATCTCCTCATCCGCACAGGCAAGGAACTCCTCCACCGGCTTGTCGATCGTGTCGTGATCGATCCAGGTTAGGCCCATCTCCACCTTCTCGGCCAGGTCCTGCCAGTTGCGTCGGTTCTCCAGGGTGCCCTCGTAGAGGGGCGTGATCCAGGGGAAGGTGTCGCAGAGCACTCGGTAGAGGGGCAGGCAGATAACGTCGATGAAGCCCACCTGCATCTTGGGCAGCTCGTCCTTGCGCTCCCTTTAAGGGTGGTTGAAAATATGAAATCAAATATTGTGTGGCTTTAAACCCGTCTCACCTGTCCATCATGGCCACTGGTTGGGTGTTGAGCTGCAGCTTCTCGAGATCCCCCTGGTCAAAGAACTCATCGGCCACCAACTTGGCCACTTTGTGCTGAACTTCCCAGGGTTTGGCAATGGCACTCACATCGCAGGCAGTCATCATCATGCCACAAAGTACTGAAATGAAAGTAATTTGTAATATTAAATAAAAAAAAATGTTAAAAATGTTTTTTAATTTTTGTATAAAGTTATAATGGTTATTGAAATGATTTCCACTCACAATCCTTCTTCTCCTCGCCCTGCCAATCGAATTCTCCGTTTTCCACCAACTCAAGGAAGGCGTTTCGCTTCTTGAAATACATGGCCAGATCGGTGGACAGGATGGCACTTTCCACGGTCTTCATAACCGAGCGATAATCCTCAGGTGACAGGGCCTAAAATTAAGCAAAGCAAACAGAAGGTTTCCGGTTAGTCAAAGTCGCTGATTGTTTGGTAATTCTGTTCTTAAGTTGCTAATCCCAAAAACACCTGTACCGGTGACGTCACCTCTAGTACTAGGCATGTGCTCAAACAAAAGTTCACCACTTATCGGAGTCAAGGTGGACTCTATTCAGAGCTATTTTGGTAAACATGGTTTTGTGGACAATTGAAGGTCGCTAGCCAATCGTGGTTGTACTATAAAAGCGCCACTTTCCCAGCATAAAGCATATCAGTTTACAATTGAAGCATCCAACATGAAGTTGTCTCTCGTTCTCTTCGTCCTTTCGATGGTCCTGTATGTGGCCCAAGTTAGAGCTGCAGATACTACCACATCCACGGAATCGAGCACTAGCACTTCTACCACGGAATCCACCACGACTACTACAGAGTCGAGTACCACGTCTTATTCTTCTCCGGATGTGAAGAGGAAAATCGTTCGTCTCAGCAATCTGAAGTACTCGATAACCAGGAAAATCAGGATCGGCAGCACCACCGCCTCCTCGACCAAATCAAAGAGTGCCCGCGCCAAGGCCCGCATAGCCCGCCTAAATGCCGCCAAACGCTCAAAGAAGTCTGCTGCCAATCGCAAGAACCTTAACAAGAAGACCAGGAACCGCAATGTTCGAGCTCTTCGTGGTTAGACTAAGCCAAGTTAAAGTGTTGAGAATAAAATGTTACAAGTTATAAAGAAAACACAAAAGGTTTCCTAATTTTTGGGCTGATCATTTGGTAAACATTCTACTATAAATATTATAGTCTCATATGGACTTTCCAACTTTTTAATAAAATATTTATACAGCTTTTTATTTACCTGAAATATGTTATTTCCCTCCGAATTGAGAATCATTACGCACTGATCGAAGTGATGGTGCTCCATGGTGCTAGTAGTGTACAGAATAGCTAGCGGAGATTCTGTCTTGGTCTGGAATGCATTATTCGTGCCGCGATGGTCCAGATCGTGACACAAACAGGCCACCAGCAGGCCCAGAATCTCCAGATCCGTCATGAAGCGCTCCATCTTTCCAGTTTTCAGCATGGCGAACATCGTTTGGGCCACGTTAAGAGCATGCCGCCAATTGTGGTACTTCACCGGACGATAATTCTTCCGAACACTCAAGACCCAGCGGCAGAGGACCTATAAAGTTTTTTTTTATTTGTGAGTTCTTAAATACTGAAGGGTAATTTTATTCGAGGAAGACTTACATCATAAGGTATCTGGAACTGAGAGACCAGATTGCACTGCATAAACATGCGAAGCACTGCGCGACAGGTGTCATCGTCCACCAGCTCAAAGTCTGGAATAAAATGGAAATAAGTTAGTATTAAATAAATAAAATACAATTAGTTATTAATCAATTTAAACACTTTATTGTTAGGTAAAAACAATTTTTACTACATTGTAAGACTTAGTTGCAAGTAATTATCTTAACTAAGATCGTTAAAATTTAAATTTGCTTTAGGTACACTATAATCAATTTTACATGATCTCGAGATCAAGGTAAAATACCTCTGACATTTCTTACCCGTAAAGGTGAAGCTGTACAAATTGTAAGACTCCGCCTCGGCAATCGCGTCCTGGGTGAGCTTCTCCGTCTGATCCTGGCTAGCGGTGGCATGGTAACTGAGGCACTCGAGGGCCACCTTCTGTTTGGCCATCAACTTGCAGGCATTCTCGTACATCTGGGTGTTGTGGATGCCCAAGCCGCAGAAGATGGCAAAAGCCTCGAAAATCGAGGCTTCTGATTCGGTAAATGGAACGCCGTTGGCCTGTTCGAATAAGTAATTAAGCGGTTTTTTGATTAGTTTTTTAAAGTTCTTATAATAACATGAAATAATACCTTATTGATAAGTTGGGCCACACCAATGACTTTCTTCTGGGCATTCATAATCGGCATGCAGAGGATGGCCTGGGTGCTGTCGATTTCGTCCTCGGCCCGAATCTGGTTGTGATCCCTGACCCATTCGTGGACATCGCAGATGTTGACTGTCTGGCCGGTGGTGGCCACAAACTGGGCAATTTGGGCTAGTGTCGAGGTGCTCAACTCGCTGACAGATGGCCTCGAAACGTTGGCAGCCTGATATTCCCCACCCAGTTCAAAAAGCACTGTAAAACGATTGCGCATTTTCTGTCCGATCAATTGAACGGGGGTTTCCCAAAAAGAAATACCCAAAATCAATGGCTTGGAAACGAATTGAAACCTAGGTGGACTTACCTTCTCCTCGAAGCTGTCGGCGGATTTGATGGCGCGGGCGGCTGGCTGATTGGGCTTCTCAATTATCTTCTCCAAATGGCTCTGCGGTGGAAGGGGCGAGAAGAAGGACAGAGGGGACATTAAGTGGCTGCCACTAATGGAGCTCCTAACGGTTTCCCCCAAGCCGCCAACTTGTTGATAAATTGCATTGCACCACATCGCACTCCCACCCCACACTTGGAGAAATAGCATAGGTTTTTAGTGTTAAAAGATCCTACAAACAAAAAATCACGTAGCGATCAAATCGATATACGCATGGTAAATTTCTGGTATTGCATTCGAATATTGTTTTTACCAAAATTCGAACTAGCCTGTTGTTTACATTTCGAGCATATCAGGTCAAAATTGTTACCACATAACGTAGAATTGATCATCGTTTAATTTAACATACATTATTATGTTAAATTTTTAAACTGCTCTTACTCTTACTTTACTCATATGAATTCTTATAAATATGCTATACTTTAAATTGGAAAAAAACAAATTATCATCAAATCAATTTGCATTATTGTAGAATTACTTCGTGTTATTAAAATATTATTTTTCATTTTAAATCTTAAATATGTGAATTTACAACATTTATCTGTTTTTATTACTTATAATATTTTAAAAATTGTTTTTATATTTTCTTTCAGTGCAGCACTCCTCCGCAAACAGGCAACCCGAGCTCTCACTCCCACTGCCTCCCGAGCATAATTAAGCTGACATGTTGCACATGACGGCCATGTCAGCCAAGTTTTCAGAGTCCGTCCGGCACAACTCGACTGGCCCTGCCCCCGTGGGCCAGTTTGGCTTTATGGGCTAATAAATTGTCCATTACACTTACATGCATTTGCATTATCAGCTGGCAGCAGATAATGGCTAATTTGGCACTGGCCCCGTTTAATTTCCCGAATTAAACAATCATCGTAATCAACGGCATTTCATTTACCAGATTGCACTGTCCAGTGCATATCAAATTAATAACAAATTTCCGTGGGAAATAAAAGAGCTTTTGTTTAGTTAACATAAAGGTCAGTCAATTGTGGTATTTACGGCCTTCATTTGTCCACCGCCGGCTATAAATTAATACAGCATGCAGTAATTTAATGAGATGCATTCATCAAATGGCCCGAGCAAAAGGTCTTTCATATGCCAAGGGCCAGGACATCTGTTTTACTCCTTTTACGGGCAGTTTCATTTACAATTTTAATGCCTTATCCCTGGAGGACTATCCATGGGCAATACTCATGCGCCGTGGTAGCCAAGGCGGAATATGCAAAACAATTGTACACATGTTCATCGGATGGAGAACATTTTACATGCTTAAAGTGCACCTTAATTGATTTACACAAAAGCAGAAATGCAAGCGAATAAAAATTTATTCGAAACCATGTCTGAAATATAGTCGATTTATATTTGTAGTAGGTATCCTTAAAGTAGTTAAATCAATTATTATTTAATTATTATGTTTATTTACTACATATCTTTACAGGTTTGAGTTACTTTTTTTGCCTTTTTTCTTTCCTACAGTTTAAATTTTTATTAAGTATTTCTCACATTTAAATTGCCCCCTATTATAAGAGTTACTTTAATGCTGTTTTATTGTGTGATTAGTGCTATAAATACCGAGCTAATGTCTTTTAATGACGTATACTTCAAACGTTTTATGAATATTTATTATTTCCGATACTCTTCCGTAAGTTATATCAAACCTGTTTTAGCTACCAGTTAATTCATTCACTATTTTACTTTGAGAAAATATCTATACCAATCTAATCAGCAGCCTCGAACTAATGACAGGCAATCAGCGAAACTTCAGCACAGATGAAAATTGCCCAGACCTGATCATAATTTACCGAAACTCCTCGGGGACCTCCACCGCCGTCAAAATTTCGCGCGATGCCTGACACTTGCTCATTGCTAAATTCCCGCCACGTGGAATTGCCCACAATCGAGTTAAACCAAAAAAAATAATAATGTAAATGCACATTTAAATTTCCTTTGGGTTGACAAACCCACAAGCAAAATGGACCAAAATGAACGCGGTGGCTTTAAAACAATTTTAATGAGACTGACAGCCACAAGAAGGTTATAGAAGGCTGACCGCAGGGCCTCACTTTTATTATTTATACGCCATGTTTTGTTTTGCTTGAACGAACTTTAGTTGTCTGAAAAATTACGTTAAATTATTTGTATAGTCTTAATACATATCAATTAAGTACACCGTAGACAGTGTGACGACAAAGATAGGAAAGTTCTTTAAGAAACAAGTTTATATCGAGTGTTTTGTTTTAATATTTTACGAAAATTTTTATATTTCTAGAATTATTGCTTTACTATTTTTACATACATATTTACGATAGTAACTATGTAATCTGAAAGAGAGATATGTTGATGGGACTGAAAGCAGGAAAACGTTATAATAACCTAGATAATAACTATAATAATAAACAAATTTGAATAATTGAATAATTTGCGATCAGCTCTGATATTTCTATAAAAAGGCGAGCCTAAGCTCCAGACCAACTCAGTCAACCAAATCTAATCTAAAGTGTAGTACATGGTTTGTGTTTTTTTTCTTGTGAAGTTTTTTTTTGTGAAATTTTTGTTTGTGTAGTACTTGGTTTGTGTTTTTTTTCTTGTGAAGTTTTTTTTTGTGAAATTTTTGTTTTGTGAAGTTTTCTGGAACTAAGACGATGCTAACGATCGATGTGGCATTGTTCGCTGGATTCCTTTTTTGGATTTTTTACCTATGGTGTCGCTGCAGGATGTATATGTTAATGTTAAGGATACCCGGACCCATAGGACTACCAATACTTGGCAGTTCCTTGGAGAATATCATCACTTATAAACGTAAAAACGTATCCCCAAAGCATACAACGAATATACAATTGAACCTACCAAAACAATAGGCAAATTGAGCTTTCGAACCAAGTATCTAGACAAGTATGGCTCGACCATTTTACTTTGGATTGGTCCAGTGCCAACTGTGGTGACAAGAGATCCAAGGATCGTCGAGGACGCGTTTACGTCCACCGATTGCCACAACAAAAGCCCGCATATCGCTAATGCGATAACAAGTTGCTTGGGATTTGGATTGTTGGGACTACAAGGTAATAGGAATAATTACATTATTTCTATTTATCTAACATTTCACTGATCTTTCATTAGATCCCGAGTGGATTGGCCGTCGAAAGCAACTTAACCCATCATTTAAACATGATCTTCTGCTCAGCTTCTTTTACATTTTTGATGCCGAGACAAAAATCCTTGAGAACTCGCTGGATACTTATGTCGGTCAGGGCGAAAAGCATGTGGTTCCAGACATCCTCAGATGGTCATTTAGAATAGCTGCTCGTAAGTCATCCAGCCATTGTGTTATATTACGATATGGTTCCCAACATCCTTGCTCCTGTCCGCAGAAACCACCATTGGGTCAGATGTGAAACATGATGAATACTTTAAAAACAATAAACTCGTGGAATGCTTTGAAACGTAAGATAAATCTAAGCCATAGAATATAGCCAACACTTTCCATTTTAATTTTTATAAATCATGTCGAAGTGCTAAGAACCCCTTTTAAACTATTGTAGGCTCATAAGTATGACGACACTAAATATTTTGATGCCTTTGGCTCAAAACAAAATTATTTCGAAACTATGGGGCTACGACAAACAGCGAGCAAACAATGTTTCAAAAATCCATCAAATGCTGGATAATGTATGTGAAGAGGACCGTTTTCTCGTCCGCATGTTGAACTGAAAGTTATTAACCTATTTTTCTGGTTCAGGTGGTTATGAAAAAGCTAGACTCAACGGTAGATCCATCTGATCCCGAGATGAACATTGTAATTAACCGAACAATGGAACTATACCGCAAGGGCGCTATTAGCTACAAGGATATAAAGAGCGAATGTTGTATTATGATGGCCGCTGGTTATGATACATCAGCCCTGACGGTATATCATACTCTCTTTCTTCTGGCCTCACATCCCGAGCACCAGGATGCGGTTTTCGAAGAACTAATTGATGTCTTTCCCACTGCCGGAGATTTTAAAATAAACTATTCGGATATGCAACAATTGGTTTACTTGGAGCGAGCGTTGAAGGAGACTCTACGCCTGATACCAGCCATTCCAATAACGGCGAGGGAAGTAAAGAAGGATGTCCTGCTCTCAAATGGTGTTCTCATTCCCAAGGGAGTGGTGATCGGGATCGACATTTTTCACACGCACAGAAACCCGGATGTCTGGGGGCCAGAAGCATCAAAATTTAATCCAGATAACTTCCTGCCGGAAAACGTCGAGAAAAGGCACCCATATGCCTTTGTTCCCTTTGCGAGAGGAAAGAGGAATTGCATAGGTCCTTCTGATTTTTCATAAAAAAAATATCATAATTTCTTGACACCATTTTTTTTATAGGGTCGAAATATGCAATGATGTCTTCAAAGTTTGCTCTGTGCAGAATACTCAGGAATTACAGGATAAAGACAAGTTTTCGTTATGAGGATCTAGAGTACGTTGACAATATGACCATGAAGCTCGCTGAATACCCACGACTGGAATTTGAAAGACGTGCTTAGGAGTATATATGTACATTCAAGGGGTTTTTTGGTACCACTCTTACTTCTTTTTTTTTTATTATATTTTAAATGCTTTTTACTTAAAAAGAATAAGAACTCAACTATCTAAACAGTTAGGAATTGATTTGATTTCATTATCATAAATTGCCATCTTAATAAGAACTGTTAACTCAGATATTGTGCTTTATAACTAAAGGGTATATGTGAACAAGCCTGGGAAAACTGACCCAGGCGATATTGCAACATATTAGATGAGGATTGGTAGATAGGAACGTAAAGGATAAGAATTCCAATTTTCAAATACTTGCACTCAAAATAAATTAACCTAAAGTCAAAGAAATTGCCCTATTTATACCCGTTACTCGTAGAGTAAAAGGGTATATTGTATTCGTGCAAAAGTATGTAACAGAGGGAAGGAAGCGTTTCCGACCCTATAAAGTATATATATTCTTGATCAGGGTCACTAGCCGAGTCGATATAGCCATCCACTTGACTATTGACCAAAAAGTTGACAAGTTAAGGAAGGAAGAAAAATCTTACGCTTCGTACAAGTTATTTTACTGAAACTTTGGGACCGTTGCACACCGCCTTAACGTGAAAATAATTTTTTTTTTGGTTTTCGCATACATTTATTGGACACAGAAACCTACCATTTCAGATGCTGAGCTCAATCGACCTTAAATAAGTCCACCCTAATTTACATACATATGCAGGCGTTGTGTGTCTTGTATATAATGAATGTTAAGGTTATAAATTAGCGTCCTATTAAGTGAGCATAGGGAATTGCTCTGCTCATCCGCTGCCTCTCACGGACACTATAGAACAGCAGTCTGCACACACACATCGATCAGCTGTCCAGTGCTAACTTTTAAAAGTTTCACACACGTATTTTATCTATTTTATAGACCATACTTTGGAGCAAATTGGTAGGGCTTTTACCTTTTACAAGGAGTAATTTTTCTTTGTTTATAGCTATGTCGCAATTGATTTATTTCTCCCTTAAACAAAATCATAAAATTATTATAAGTAAAGGGATCGAAAGATAAAGAGTTTATCTTTTAAAAACTTAAAAATCTAAACCAACCGAAAAGTTGGCCAATTTCAGCATTTTTCGATCTTTGAGGTCCTTGTGCCCAAAAACCTTGCGTCGGGGAACTTTTTGGAAAAAATTACTCCTTAGGGATTTTTACCAATTTGCCCTACAAAATACATTTTTTTTTACTATTTGCCCTGCAGGAAACGGAATCAGTTTTGGACTATTAAAATACTAGTTGGGCCAAGAAGGTTAACTAGTTCAAGTTATGTCCATTTCCTTGTAACGAAGTGGTCCATTTTTCATATGCTTGTCGTCGGAAACAACTAGTCCATTTGCTACTAGTTTTGCACTAGTGACTGTTAACCAATTTATAGTTACAGCTGTTAAACTACACTCAAAAAAATATTTTCACGAAAAAATTAAAAATAATCTCTAAACCATCAAGTGATTGAATTTCACTAGTACTTGGCGATGCCTAACTTGACGCTCTCCTAATTTAGTATCCAATCAATAGGAGCGGTCCTTAGAGAATTTCTGATAATTATTATGTAATCAAATACAGTAAATGATAATTAAATGGAATTAAAACAAACTTACTTTTTTTGAGGCAAGTCGCCCTCTCTAAGACTTGAACCCGGGACCTTTGGATTTGTAGACACACTAACTGATTGAGCCATACACGCATCACATTTTGTAATGCCCTAACAAGGTTTATGAATTTTAGTGTGACATAATTCAAAAACAGCGATTTTTCACATATATATTGCCTCGGAAAGATTAAACAAAGTTTAAAATAAAACTAAAGCATCACCTAGCAAACAAAAAACAAAAAAAAATGTACAGAGACTGGGGATTGAACCGAGGACCTCGAGTGTTTGATTTGTTTATTGTTAAATTTCCCAAGACATTTACCCTCTAGGCTATATTTTTGGATCATATGTGTTTCATTTGCAACTAGTTAAATTCCAGTTGCCTTTTAACTAGACCCTAACATGTATTTGTTCTACCAGTTAAATATTTTTAAGGTTTTTTTTGTCAGAAAGGTACTAGTCCGAGACAAGTTTATTTTTTACTAGTTTTGTATTAATCATTTTTTCGACTGGCACAAATTTTCTAGACCCTGTGTAGTCCAAATGCATTCAGACAAATTCCGGTTGCTTTATATTAGTTATTTAACTAGTTGTTTTTCAGACTAGTTCGCATTTTTCCTGCAGGGTGTTTACTATAAATTTTTTTGATTGGCACGAATTTTCTAAGCACTGTGTAGTTCAAGTGTATCCAGACAAATTCCTGTTGCTTTTTATTGTAACTAGTTGCTTTTCAGACTAGTTCGCATTTTTCCTGCAGGGATATAATCAATTTATATTTGTAGTATCCTTGAATTAGTTAAATCAAATATTATTTAATTATGGTGTTGATTTACTACTATTTGTTTACTGGTTTGTTTCTACCTTTTATTTCCTACATGTTCATTTTTTTATACCCTTTCAGAGGGTAGTATAATTTCAGTCAGATGTTTGCAACGCAGTGAAGGAGACGTTTCCGACCACATAAAGTATATATATTCTTGATCAGCATCAATAGCCGAGTCCATCTAGCCATGTCCGTCTGTCCGTCTGTCCGTCTGTCAGTCTGTCCGTCCGTCCGTTTCTATGCGAACTAGTCTCTCAGTTTTAAAGCTATTGCGATGAAGCTTTCCCAAAAGTCTTCTTTCTATTGGAGGTAGTACATATGTTGCAACGAGCCGGATGGAACCACCATATCATATGGCTCCCATAGGAATAATGGAAAAACAAGAAAGGAAGCTAGCTTCGGCCAGCCGAAGCTTATATACCCTTGCAGATAAAGTAAATACCTATAGTTTAATGCTTACTCGGTGCAGTTCCAGGGATTCCAAATTCAGCGTATTTAAATTTTGTTTTTAAGTTGTCAAAAATCGAAACGCCTACTTCCTACTAAGTTACAATGAATTTTCTTATATTTGTTGGAATATACCAATGGGAGCCTTAAGATATAGTGGTCCGATCCGGCTCGCTCCGACATATGTACTACCTGCAATAGAAAGGAGACTTTCGGGAAAGTTTAATCGCGATAGCTTTAAAACTGAGAGACTAGTTCGCATAGAAACGGACAGACGGACAGACAGACAGACGGACAGACGGACATGGCTAGATAGACTCGGCTATTGGTGCTGATCAAGAATATATATACTTTATGTGGTCGGAAACGTCTCCTTCACTGCTTTGCAAACATCTGACTGAAATTATAATACCCTCTGCAAGGGTATAAAAAAATAGAAAAAACATTGTAGAAAGTAGGCGTTTTAATTTTTGACATTGTAAAAAAAAAACATTTTAAGTAGGCAAACCTGCAATGATATATAAACTTCGGCTGGCCGAAGTTAACTTCCTTTCTAGTTATTAGTATTTTCTCACAATTTAATTGCTCCCTATAATAAGAGAGCGTTACTTTAATCTCGTTTTGTTGTGTTATAATTACTAAGAATACCCAGCAAATATCTTTTAATGACGTAGTCTTAAAACGTTTTATGAATATTTATTATTTCCGATAGTCTTCCGTAAGTTATATAAAACCTGTTTTAGCTACCAGTTAATTCATTCACTATATTACTTGGTGAAAGTATATGGACCAGTCCAAGTTGCTTGAACGAACTTTAGTTGTCTGAAAAATTACGTTAAATCATTTGTATAATCTTAATAGATATCAATTAAGTACACCGTAGACAGTGTGACGACAACGATAGGAAAGTTCCTTGAGAACAAGTTTATATCGAGTTTTTTAATGAATTTTATGTAAATTTTTATATTTTTAGAATTATTGCTTTACCATTTTAACATACATATTTACGCTTGAAACTATGTAGTCTGAAAGGCAGATATGTTGATGGGATTAAAAGCAGGAAAACGTTTTAATAACCTGGATATAACCTCAGATATTTCTATAAAAAGGCGAGCTTAAGCTCCAGACCAATTCAGTCAACCAAATCTAATCTAAAGTGTAGTACTTGGTTTGTGTTTATTTTTCTATTGAAGTTTTTTTTTTTGTGAAATTTTTGTTTTGTGAAGTTTTCTGGAACTTAGACGATGCTAACGATCGATGTGGCATTGTTCGCTGGATTCCTTTTTTGGATTTATTACCTATGGTGTCGCCGCAGGATGTATATGTTAATGTTAAGGATACCCGGACCCATAGGTCTTCCAATTCTTGGCAGTTCCTTGGAAATTATCATCACCTATAAACGTAAAACCGTTTCCCCAAAGCATACAACGAATATACAATTGAACCTACCACAACAACAGGCAAATTGAGCTTTCGAACCAAGTATCTAGACAAGTATGGCTCGTCCATTTTACTTTGGATTGGTCCAGTGCCAACTGTGGTGACAAGAGATCCAAGGATCGTCGAGGACGTGTTTACGTCCACCGATTGCCACAACAAAAGCCCGCATATCGCTAATGCGATAACAAGTTGCTCGGGATTTGGATTGTTGGGACTACAAGGTAATAAGAATAAGTACATTATTCCTATCTATCTAACATTTCACTGATCTTTCTTTAGATCCCGAATGGAGTGCCCATCGTAAACACCTTAACCCATCCTTTAAACACGATCTTCTGCTCAGCTTCTTTTATATTTTCGATGCCGAGACAAAAATCCTTGTAAGCTTGCTGGACACTTTTGTCGGTCTGGGCGAAAAACATGTGGTCCCAGACATCCTCAGATGGTCGTTTAGAATAGCTGCTCGTAAGTCACCCAACCATTGTATTATATTAAGATATGGTTCCAAACATCCTTGCTCCTGTCCGCAGAAACCACCATTGGGTCAGATGTGAAACATGATGAACACTTTAAAAACAATAAACTCGTGGAATGTTTTGAAACGTAAGATAAATCGAAGCCATAGAATATATTTTAATTTGTATAAATTATATCAAAATGCTAATAACCCCCTAGGATCATAAGCATAACGACACTAAATATTTTGATGCCTTTGGCTCAAAACAAAATTATTTCAAAACTATTGGGATACGACCAGCAGCGAGAAACAAATGCTTCAAAAATTCATAAAATGATGGACAATGTAAGTGAAGACCGTTTTCTGGACCGCGTGTTACCCTAAAACTAACTATAGTTTAACATGCGAACGAGAAAAAGGCCCTAGTCCACCAATATTAACCAATTTTTCTGGTTCAGGTGGTTATGAAAAAGCTAAACTCAACGGTAGATCCATCTGATCCCGAGATGAACATTGTAATTAACCGAACAATGGAACTATACCGCAAGGGCGCTATTAGCTACAAGGATATAAAGAGCGAATGTTGTATTATGATGGCCGCTGGTTATGATACATCAGCCCTGACGGTATATCATACTCTCTTTCTTCTGGCCTCACATCCCGAGCACCAGGATGCGGTTTTCGAAGAACTAATTGATGTCTTTCCCACTGCCGGAGATTTTAAAATAAACTATTCGGATATGCAAAAATTGGTTTACTTGGAGCGAGTGTTGAAGGAGACTCTACGCCTGATACCAGCCATTCCAATAACGGCGAGGGAAGTAAAGAAGGATGTCATGCTCTCAAATGGTGTTCTCATTCCCAAGGGAGTGGTGATCGGGATCGACATTTTTCACACGCACAGAAACCCGGATGTCTGGGGGCCAGAAGCATCAAAATTTAATCCAGATAACTTCCTGCCGGCAAACGTCGAGAAAAGGCACCCATATGCCTTTGTTCCCTTTGCGAGAGGAAAGAGGAATTGCATAGGTCCTTCTGATTTAAAAAAAAAAATCATAATTTCTTGATACCATATTTTTTTATAGGATCGAAATATGCTATGATGTCTTCAAAGTTTGCTCTGTGCAGAATACTCAGGAATTACAGGATAAAGACAAGTTTTCGTTATGAGGATCTAGAGTACGTTGACAATATGACCATGAAGCTCGCTGAATACCCACGACTGGAATTTGAAAGACGTGCTTAGGGATGTTGTGTTTAAAGGATTATTGGGTACCACTCTTACCTCTTTATTTTTGGGAAATTAAATTTTAAATGCTTTTTGCTTAACAAATAAAAAACTCAACTATCTGAACAGTTGGCAAATGATTTAATACCATTTCTAATAAGTCATCATAAATTCCTGTCTTGATAAAAAATGGTAACTCATATATGGTGCTTTATAACTAAATTTGTATAAGAGTGGCTAAAAACTCAACTTGTTTCTATTGTTTCACTTACCGCTTCGCAACAGTCGAGGTCCACGAGGAAAACCGAGCACCGTTCGCACTTGAGAAGCTCGCGGGCCTCTGTCATAATTTTAGTGACGAGGCACTCGAGATTGTTCTGCTCCTCGAAGATGCTGCGCGCCAGATTGAGAAGGATTTGATTACGCCGGTATTCCTGGACGGACATCTCGAAGAGCTGGGCATTTTGTATGCCGATCCCGCAGAAGGTCAAATACCGACGGAAGATTTCCACGTCGTGTTCATCGAACTCCATGCAGCCTACAAGAACCAAACAACACAGCACATTAACGATTAGCGGATAAAGCTAAAGCCTTTGGATACCCACCATTCGTTTTGTTAATGATTTGCGCCACGCCTATGATGTCGCCCTCGTAATTGCAAATGGGCATACAGAGGATGGCGTTCGTCTTGTAGCCGGTCTTCAGATCGATTTCACAGTTGAAGCGCGCATCCTTGTAGGCCTCCTTGATGTTAATCATCTGCTTTGTCTGCGCCACCATGCCCGCGATGCCGATGCCAAAGGGAATGATTATCTCCTCGGCACTGGCCCGAGTCACTGCGTCCTTGAGTGCTGCAATCAAACGGGATTCAAGCTCGAGTCAATCAAGGGGAAAACGCTAAGCCAAGACAGCTATCAAAAATCATGAATAAAATTCTTGAATTAAGATTACTTCAGTCTGAATATTTGCATCTTAAATTGAAATAATGCTTCTGTAAGGCGCTTTATACTTTAAAGATTTATAAACTAGTTAATATAGCATTTACAATACAAACTTTTAAGGTAATGTGTCTCTCTTCATCCCGAAAATATTTTATAAATTGTTAATGCCGGTACAATTGAAATTTAAGCACTTTCAACCTTTCAACCAGATACTGCCTTAAAATCAGTTCAACCGTTGCAAAGCGTATTAGGACGCTGATAAGGCCCTTCGTGCATCTGAATAAATATTAAATTTATAGGCAAAATATTCACTCTGCCATGCAAAAGATACAAGAGCACGGCCTTGGCAGAAGCACCGAAAAAAGAGGGAATAATATATAAATAAATAATGACAAGGCCCCGAAAATCCGAGGGCAAGAAGTCAAATGTGAATTTGCATGAGCTCGCCGCCGGTCCCGCCCCAATCATAATCTCAGTGGCCCACACAGCGGCTCACATGTATCCGTATCGCATCCGAAACAGTAGATATATCTGTATCTGAGGCCAGCCCATCCCCCCACCCGACATTTCCCAGCTCTAATCTTTCTCGCATTTTCCCCACTGAATTATGTAGCGGAAGCGGTGGCTTTTACTCACGGATCTGCACCAAAGATTCATTACGAATGTAGCGCACTTCTGTATGAATATGTCGGGCTGTTTGTTTGTGGGCGGAACCTGTGGGAGCACGTCCTCAGAAAATGGATGCTATTTCACATTTGAAGGCGGCCTTTTCGGTTTTATACGGTCGCCGGGCCTGTCGAAAAGTTTTAATGCCCTCTTCCCATCCAGCTTAATTTCGCTAATGTGTTTGCCGGCCCCTTTTGGCCTGGCCAAGAATTATTTGCCCGGCCGCTAATGAGTGCCAATTTGTATACGTCCAATGGGTTGGCCCCTAAACATTTAAAAAATAGCTTGAAGGGTGAAATTATGGGGAAAAAGTCTGCTTTATAATTTCCATTTTCATATAACAAAACGAATGTAATATTTGGTATTGATTTCTAACTTTTCGAGATACAAAACACGAATCAAATTTAAAAATAAAAGTAACGTGTAAATTTTGCTGTTATTTTTTCATCTATCTTGATTGCTTGTATGTGATCATGTTTTCGCAGTCTATCTGGCTTTTAACAGAGTCCTTCAATTTAGCCCTCCTGCATTTGTGAAAATCACTGAGCGCTCTTGACTCGGCTTATGTATCCCTTTTCCCCATTTTTCATTCATTTTTGCTGTCTTCAGCCATTGTGTTGCTGCAGTTCGTTCTGTGCATTGTTCGCCTTAATTAAAGCGGGATTACCTGTGCCACAAGGATTCCGCCCACAAACATACAGCCTTACAACAACAACGTACAAACATATATGGACAACAAAATTGCCAATGAAAGGGCAAAATTTCCATTGCAGGCTCACCTGTCTTTTGAGTGACATCGAATAGCTTGGCCACCAGATACTTGTTGGTGGGCGTGCCCTTGGCCAAAAACAGTGAGCCACGATCCGCGTGGGTGAGCAGGCCGACATTGACCAGAATCTTGTGGCACAGCACATCGATGTCCAGTTCGTTGGCCACGTCGCGAATCAGTTCCATGAAGAGCTCACCCTCGTCCAGGTCCATCAGATGTCTCCGGCTCTCAGGAAGCGATGATGCTGACGAGTTCGAGAGACTCCTCGGCGATTTCTGCAGGGAAATGTGACAGAGAAATGAGGAAACAAATTATACAATAGAACCCTTAATAGAAGGCTTAAATTGGGATTATGCTAGGAAAATGACCACACTGAGAATGAACTGTGGCAAATAAAAAATGATGGCTTACTTTAGAAAATTAAAAAACGTTTTTAAAAGTTGGTGCTATCACTATGGACGGCAGTCCATGTAGTGACGAAGCGCACCAGGAAAGTGTGCGAAGGCGACTACTATATATACACGAAGAAATGAAAATCTACTGTGATGGTCCGATCATAATGAATGATACACCTATCGAAAGGTATTACGAAAACTAACAGGATTGCATACCAAGACTCTAAGAAAATCAATTGGCTTGGGAGAGAGAGCGGTAAAAGAAAATATTAGAAAGTCTATTTAATGACGAGTGTAATAATTTTTCGTCACAAATGTTGATATCAGAACTTTTGTATGTTGAAGGTGCGATCGTCACTAGTTTTTTACCTCGTTAAGAGGTGTTTTTATTTGATATGTATTTATCTGTGGTTCCCTGATATTCTTAGGGTATTGATGTATTGATTGAGGCTGCCAAATACGATCGGAAATGAAACCCCTAAACTAAGCCTCTCATTAATGCCCTATATTGTTCAAAAATAATGTTTATAATAGTGCTAGAACATCTCAAGTTTTTATTTGTACAATACTTTAATTCTGTTATTTGGCATGGGAAAGCATACTAAATCCATTATTTAATTAGTTCCCATATAAATAGCTTTATGATTAGCTGGCATTATTATTCCGCAGGACGAGAGTGAATTTTAAATATTAAACAGTGTATTAAGGCAATAACGGCTATTGTCTCTCCTCACGTTCCATTATTTCTGCTTTCGATTTCTGGCCATTTAACCCGGCCCCCAATTTCATTGGAAATTAACTTGGCCCGGTTCAAAGGGTGACTATTAGCAGCAGTTGGCAGTTGTGCCTTTAAGCGGTGCCCGGGCTCCTCGTCCTGTGGCAATGTGGTAATTGAATACCGAAAAGGCCCCTCCGGTCCTGGATCCCCCGCTTCCTCCATTCCAGTGACCTGTGACCTGTGCGTGCGAGTGGCCAATTAAGCGAGTTGGGAGCTGCGAGCTGCGAACTGGGAGCTGGTTACATTGCGTGTACTGTCCTCATCCTGGTCCTGAAAACAGGCCATCCCATTCCACAAGGCTCGCCAGCCCAGCCCACATCCCTATCATTTTTACTGACAAATTAAAGCAATTTAGCGTTGGTGCTGCCCTTTCTTCTATCAACATTTCCTTGTGGCACTGGGCCAGAAATATCAATAATTACAATGTGGGTAAAAATAAGTATTCTACTTGTAGAAAACTATATTCTTAAGGGATTTCATGTATTTTCATCCTTCCTAAATTATTCTTAATATTTTCTCTAAAGTTGTAGTACACAATAAAAGAAATGACCTTACTTTCGATCGATTGCTTACCCAAGTCCTTCGTGTTTTTCCTACACCTAATGATTGCTCTTTTTTATGACTAAAAATTCAGACAAATTAAGTAATTAAATGCCGTTAAACCCCATCTTATTAGCCCTTTAAAAAAAGGAAAAGCTGCGAAAAAGTCTCGTCAAAAAAAACGGGGCGTAAAATAATCTCCGACTTGTTTGGACTGAACTGAAAGTTAAAAAAAAACTGTTTTGTTTGTGTTCGGGTGGGAACAATGCAAATTCATTAAATAAAATGCAGACAAATAAAGGGAAATGAAAACAAAGCCAAGCCAGTCAGAGCGTTAAGTAAATTTGAACTTCAGCCAGTGGCATTGGGTGTTCCCCTTAAAACAACAATAAAATCAACAGAACGATGTTGAGCAGTCGTGCTGATTTTATTATTGTTCTTTTTTATTTTTTTTTGGAAAAGGAAAGTGAAAACATGAAATCGGAATGACTCTTAATGGGAAAACGTCCTGCATGGCATGAAAATTTCACTGCTACACCAAGAAAAACTTGATATGAAACGATGATCAATTTGTTGTATTATCAATTTTGCTTTGATATGCGGCATCTCAATTCGATATGTTCTAAGTATGCCAGTTCGAAACTCAAATGTGTCTTTCTTCCTCCCCCCCATTTAACTTTAAGGGCTATCTCGCTCCACATAAATTTGGGAGAATTTGTTCTTTTCCCTCCCATTTAAGTAATTTAAGTCGCCATATTGCTTATTCTTTTCTCTGAGAGAAAGAAATCGACAAAATGATATTATTAACCAAAAATTTACCATGTGCATATGGATTTGATCCCTGCATGTTTTTTTTTGTGTGTATATATACGGCTACCGATACAAATGCGGATAAACAACAGGGGCTAAGAACTGCCTGAACGGGGCTTGCAGTTTGCATTGCGTAACATGCACTTAAATAAATTGACAATATCGACAACAAAAAGAGGAGGGGCTGGGGGAGGAACACGTGCTCTGTTCACCTGCTGCAAAAAAACGAAAGAAAAAATTGCACTCACTAAGCCAGACAATCGCTGAAAGGTCTCAAAGGTTGACTGCTTGTTGTTTTACCCAGGACACTGGCCTAGTTTTTCCCATTTTCCTTCCCTTCACACACACATACACAGCACATACTCATGGACTGGCTGAAAGAATTTTCCACTGACTTTTAGTTTTGATTCACAAGTGCCCAGGTGAGTGCCGATTTGCATGCGGGACTCAAGCGCACTTCTTGTTTTGATATTTTTATGTTTTTGCTCAACCAATTGCACGAGCAGAAGAGCAATTTGCAGTTCAAGTTGTGATCTAACATAATTTAGATGGATTTTTCAGAAAGGCAAACATTTGAAAAACGCACGGCAAGTGAGTCTCGATGACAGTTACCATTGGCAATGAGTGGGTAAAAGGAGTTCAATTGAGTCCTCGAGTTGAAGCACTTTTCTGATGGCCATCACGGGCGATCAAAATAAACAGGCAAATAAATAAATTATGAGACGGTAATTGAGTTAAATACATATACTCGATGGTCGTAGCTATTCAAAATTACTATTCACTCTCTAAAATGTAAATATTTTCTAATGCATATCAAATATGGAAAATAAAACATAACAAACGGAGAAAACCAAGAGAATCATAATTAAGTATTTATAGTAAAAAGAAAGCATACATTTTTCATTTATTCCAATAAAATCGTTCACATGAAATTCATTTTATGAAAAGACCATTCTTCATCGACAAAGGTCGGGCAATATATATTCCACATGTACAGCATTTTATTTTATGTTATTTTCCCGCCGAAGGGGGGCTACAGAAAATATCAAATAAAAGTTAATTGAAAAATACTTGACGCCGACGTGAGGTAGCGATTTAAAAACCTGCCGGCGGAGGTTGTCAATAAATAACCAATAAATACATATAGCACGCTTTTCGGCTGTCGATTGCAAGTGGGGGTTTTGGAAGCGAGCAATTTAATTTTTAGTGCCTGAATTAAACATAAGCAGAAGGTCGTGAAAAGGCAACATTGCACTATAGGCTGGATGACCACTTTAGGTGGCCAAAAGTAATTTTTTGAAAGTCCTTAAAATTAGGATCCAATGATGTCATTCTGTTAGGATAACATCAGACTTTAATGTTACATACCAGATATTTTAACAGAGGCTCGCACTGTTAAGGTACAGGCTGTTAAAACAGCTGTTGGCAGTGACGGGCGCACGTGGATCAAATAATTTAATAAAAACAAGAACATTTAAATTAATTCAAAGAGCAATTTAGAACGATTATAACAACCGGTGCTTTACGGCATCGAAAGAGAGTGGATTAAACTAATTATTTGTATATTTTAAGTGTTAAAATATAATGCGGTTTCTTTGCAATTCAAAATTTATTTATACCCCTTTAACTTTTAACAAATTGAAATAAAAACTCATCTTTAAATAGACAAACAAAGAGAATGTGACCTAGTTTCACCTTAATATTTATACTGGGTTGTAGGAAATACAATTCTTGTTCATATGAATGTTATTTGAGGGTGCACTTTTGCGCACTTTTTCTTGAATCTGTATTTAAAGGCCTCGACCTAAAACGGCGAAACACACGCAAAATTGGTGCACAAATGTCAATTGCGATGATATTTTTAATGAACGGTATACAGGTATCTTTCTAATTATATATTAGTAATTAACAAATTTTTTAACACCATCTTTTCAAAAGAATAACTTTGTTAAAAAGTATTTTTTAATTTTTTGTGTTTCTTATATTGATTTTAATAATTAAGACTCGATTGCACTTAACAAAAAAATGGAAGTCACTCAATTTTTTTTGGTAATTATATTCTTTTTATTATAAACAAAACAATACAAAAATATAATTTTTTAAGTTTATTTTTGTCATAAAAAAAATTTTTTTTTTTGAAAAAAGGCGTGACCATGCCCATTTTTTCATAAAAAACATAAATTTAATATTATATATGCAATTAAAAAAAAAATACCTTTAAATTGTTGCTTCGTTTTTAAGTTATTAATTAAGGCCACAAAAAGAGATCATCCAGCCTATAGTGCATTGTGGAAATGCCACTCCTCTCCGAATTCATGTGGCTGTGTGAGTTTTTCCAATTAGCGAACTTCACACGCAGCCAGAGACACCAAAGAAAAGCGGAGAGCCAGCCAAAGGAAATTTGTGAAAATATCAATTTAGTTAATTCGCTCGGCGAGAAGGCGAACAAAGTTAAATAAAAGCGGAAATCCAGCGCAGTGGCAGCAGTGCCAAAAGTACAACAAAACAGGGCAAAACAAAGCAGGGCAAATACAAATACCAGCTCAAACAGTCGGTAGTCGGTGGGCAAATAAAGCACTGACAATGCGAAGGGCTGAAAGGATGGTGGCTAAGTGCTGGGGACCCACTGCAATTGCCACTGCCAGTTGGCAACTGCATTCGCAATTGCACTTGCCATCGCTGGATGCCATTGTTTGGGGGGAAATTCGGGGGGCTAAAATGGATTGGATGAATGCGATGGGGAAGGACCGAAACTATTCCCCATTTTATAATGGACGGAAAGTTCTGGGATAACTTCCAATAAATATTTTGATTTCAATTATCGAGGTGGAGAGATCGTAAAAATTATCCTATTTACAATTTTATTTAATTTTGTTTATTTTATATTTTAACTTTCAATTATTAAGGTACAGAAATCGTAAAAAATCATCCTATTTACCATTTTATTTTATATTGTTTATTTTACTTTTTTTTTAGGTTGTTCTATAAAATATTTATTTAAGGGAAGTGAAAACCTAACTTAACTTAAGTTAAAGTCCCTTACATTTTTTTATACTGTTTTGTTAACAATGCACTGAAAATGCAGCATAAAAAAAGTTAATGTATTTCCAAGTTATAAATTAAACTTTAATATCAACGGTAAGGTATTAAGTAGATAATGTAGGTTTTGCGTACATCAAAGCACAAAACCAACCTTCTTCGATTCGAATAGATTTCTGTGACATCCCCGTATATATATTGCATTGGAGCCCTCCGTTCCACAGTTTTTGTATTAAATCTCTATTTTTAATTTTTATTATAACAGTTTTAGTTTTAGATACCCCCCGCCCCCCAATAAATGGGCGGATAGTTAACTCTTATTCGAAATCCCTGAATTAAAGCATAATCTTTAAGCGAATACATTTATATTTAAAATAAATATTTGTTTTTGAAATCAGAATCTAAAAAAGTAAATTAAGGCCAAGCAAATAAGAAAGGGATTTATCTGGGAACTTTTTATCTGATCTTACCACCTTTTTTATTATTAATTAAAAGTTTCTTACTTACTTACTATATCGTATGGCTAATATATTCTTTATAACATAGACAAACAAAATGACATACCTGCTGAACGGTGGGCGAGGCGGCCATCCACTGCTGGAAGAGATCGGAGGTGACCGAGGGCCGCTTGTGCGGTTTGCGATTCTCGATGAACTCCTGCAGCCGGCTTAGTGCCTCCGGAGGAGCCCTTTCCGTCAGCCACTTCTCGAAGGCCTCCGGCTTCTCCTCGAACAGCCGGGCCACCTCATCGACATCCTGCTGCGATGCCGAGATGGCACTCGTCTTGGCTGTTTGGGTCTGTATGCTGGCTGTCAGCGAAGGGGATTGGGATGGGGAACTGGCGGCAGGTGGTGTCATCAGCCGCGCGGCAGCTTCACTTTCGCCGGATGGAGATCTCAGCTTGATTTCTGGACTGCGACTGGTGGCCGCAGGTCGATTGTTATTGCTCTGCCGGTGATGATGATGCTCCAGTTTGATCTGATTGCCACTGGAACTGCTGGAGGGGATGGCTCCAGCTCCAGCTCCAGCTGCAGATCCAATTCCAGCTGCCGTTGACGTGGCCGCCTTGTTGGCGCCATTGGTCAGCGGTTTGGACGAGGACGACGACGACGTTGTGGCGGCTGTAGAGCTGCTGGTGGTCATTTCAACCGGAGCTGCGGCGCCGCCAGCTGGCGATGACACATCTGTCATGTTGCTGCTGCTCACTGTGCCGTGCATGAAATCATTGCGGGCAAAATGTGGGGACCACCTCCTCCTCCTCCTCCGATCCTTCTGGTCGCCTCGTTAGCCCGGCTCCGAATCCTGCTGCGTCCGCTGATTAAGTCACGTACTCGCCCACTTATGGGGGTGCTGGAGTCCAACCTGTTGCTCTCCACACTCCTTGACTTTAACGGCCAGGTGCGTGGCACTGGGGTAATTGATGATGGGCCAGACTCATCGGCCGGTTAGCCGCCAGATTTTACTTCATGCACGTCTGCCCTTTTGTTTGTCTTTTTCGATGGCTTTAAATGCGTCCACTCGCCGGTTAACAGTTGATTTTTCCCTTTGATTGAGGGCCAACCTGAAAGAGGAGAGAACGGAGAAAGTTAGTCTTTGATGGCGGATTAGGGGCCAGCTTAAATGGAACAAATGGAAAGTTTAGACGCAACTTTGCCACATTGCCACTTGAGGCTAATGGCTGTCTGCCATTAAAGGAATCGCTTTCGAAATTCTAGATGAGCAGGGCGTGGCCTAACCAAGCCATTAACTTTGAGTGCGGAGCGCGAAGCGGAGCCGCAGGACCTCCCACGTATCTTCTTATCAGTTGCTTAAAAATTAATGAGTTGCCGGGAAGTTTGCCGGGGATTTTACGTTGGATTTTTCAGAGTAGTTTGCCCCTGCACTTTCAGTGATTTAGTTAAATTTTAATGCATAGAAGTGGAAATTTTAATTATTTTAATATTTTATGTTTTTTAAAAAATAATAAAATTGCTTAAAAAAATAAATGTTGGTCATAAATATTAAATATATCGACTTCTAAACGGCTAACTATTTTTTAAAATACCTTGATAAAAAACAAAAAAAATCGAAATAAAGGAAAATTTGATTAAAGTTTATATATTTTCAGGAAATATTAATTTTTAATTTAAAATAACTTGTCTAGGTATTTATATTATTTACGAAAAAACTTAAAATGCAAGTAATTTCTTTAAGTTATTTAAATGCGTTAAATAAGTTGATTTTCTTCGCAAACTAATCACAAGTAACTCCAAATACCTTTTTTTATAAATATAAGAGCTGCCAAAAAATTCCGGAAACATAAATTTCGCAGTTCGCTCCCAATTTGAATTCCAAATCTAGATTTTTTATTCAACTTAAGTGTCCTTTTCGCCTGCCTTTTCAATTCCGAAAATGTGAATGTATCACATAGAATTTATTTGCGGGTAATAAATTCGCTGATCCCCCTGCAGAGTGGAGAAATCTCTTGAAATCTCGGCCCGAATGCGGAATGGAAATAAATTTAAATGCTTCAATGGGACACGAATTTATGACCCCCCTTTCGGAGTGGCGAGGGGAGGGGAGGGGGAAGGGGCATAGGTAATTTCAGCTGACGTCAAATGCAAAAGCCAGGACTCGAAAGGTGGCTTGCATTCACATTTCCGAGAGCATAGTACCGCAAACAAAAAAGGAAAATGTTTAAAATGAAAATGGGGGTGGTTGAGGGGGAGGCGGTGGTGAAACAACGTTGCCATTTGTGCACATTTGCATTGAAATGGCCCCCGACATTTGCATGGTAAACACTTTCGGCGCTTGCCACGTGCCACCTTCAAAATGCAGCTTGCAACTTGCATCGGAATATAGGATGGTGTATAAAGCCGAGAGCCAATCCCATCTGCTCGTCATAAAGCTGCATCAAAGTGTGCCAACAGTTTTGCTCTTAACATGCTGGTCTAGTTTATTTTCGTACGGAGTACAGAGAGTACATCCTGCGAGGGTCCTTTGTCCTTTGGACACGGCACCTTGACCACCGACCACCCATCACCGATGACTTCGCATGCAGCCTGCACTTGTTTGTCCTCTCGTCCGGCATAAACAATGGTGTTTTGAATAAAACACAAGAAAGACCGGGGGTCAGAAGAGGCCACAGTATCCAGGACTTTATCACGCACTCGTTTGCAATTTCAAATTGGGTAATAAATTCCTGAACTCCGCTCTGCAGATGGGTTTTGTGCTGGTGCTAGCCCGATGTCCTGATGTCCTGGGGTGGCCTGTAAAATTGCTTTGTTCTCGCCGGCTTTTGTGGGCGAGTCTCTTGGCCCCCCGGCTTAGTTGCTACTGTAAATTTAATGTCAACACTAAAGATTAAGAGTTTAATGCGCACTTTGGCAAACAAATTTTTTGTTCCCCCGTTTACGGGCAGTCGACCTTGGTCGAAGGCCATAAATCGAACATTAAGTTGGTGAAATTATAAGCTTATTTGCGCTGCTCTGAAGTACAATTAAGTTGGTAAAATAAGGTCGGGGCTTGAAGTGAATTAAGGGTCATTCAATGGCTGCCACTTTAAAGCGGAACTAAAGGAAAGGGATCGCCTTGTAACTAATTAGTTATGCCTGGCAACCTCTTGTTCAACAAGAAACTCATTTATAAATTCATCAAATTTACATTAGTCTAATATGGCGTGCCAACTGAAATTTCTCCCATTTGCCTGTGCAATGCAAATATTTCACTGCAAAATGCAAACAATTAGACGTAATTAAACCCATGCTAAATCTGCATTTGCGAAAGCGTTTAGCCGCCGCTCCCCATCAAAAGCAACCCACCGAAATCCTTGTGGAATTGACAACGCCACCATCATCCCACAGCCTGTCCATCAACCAAGTCAACATTTGCATAATTTCAAATGGAGCTCTGACGCTGTGGTTCCCCGGATGCCTTCAGCAGATAGTTTGTTTCCTAATTCGACGGCAGCAATTAGAGCCGGTCATGAGCAGCGGCAAATTGGAGCCGAGCAGGGGGAATATGCGTTGTCCTGCGGGTCACGCACTCGAATCCGGAAATGAGCAGCGGAAATCGCCGACATCAGGGCATACAAAATGGTAAAATGTGAGGGCCACATGTGGGCGCCATATAGTTGCAATTATTATAATAGCACCACGAAGCTTAATTAAACTTGGTTTTTGCATGCATTTCCTGGGGCAATTTGTTTTTACTCGCATTTAGAATCAAATTAATATTTAATCCTGGAATCTAAAGCTCTACTTCGTTGCTTAAATAATTATAAAACATGTTCTTACTTTGACCCCAGCTGTATACACTCAAAAAAAACTTGTTATGAAACGATGATTAATTTGATATTATGTGATATTAATTTTAACTTGATATGCGGCATCTAAATCGAGTTTGGAATGTTTTTTTTAAGCGCAATCTTGCTCTATTTCGAACTGATGTAATATCGATTTGACCCCGGTGTGTTTTTTTGTGTGTAGGGTTTATTATGGCACAACAAATTCAGGGAAAAACTCAACCGAATTCATGCATATCTACGGATCTGCTTCAGTTATGGCCTTCGTTTTGTACTACCTTCTGCATGAAACCACAAAAATAATTAGCTTAAACCCTTTGTAATGTTCTGCTAGCATGCAAAATAGTTGCGACTGCAGCTCACATTAAAATCGCCGGTGTTTATTGCAAATTGCAATCAGCCAGTCAAAATCAGCCAAATGCACACAGACGCCGCATGGAGAGCTTCACTCATATTTGCCGTAATTAAAAAAAATGTGTAAGTTGGCTTCGCTGGTCATGTACTTTTACCCAGGGGCAGTAGTTATTTTTAATTAAAATGCGCCACAAACGTGTCAGGGCCGCAGGATCCGTGGCTCTCCCGGCTTGCAGGATGCAGTCTGCAGGTTGCAGGACGCTTTGCGGTGCACTTTCCCGTCACTTTCCGAAGGTGGGGCATGCAAATGACTGAACGGGTCCTGCGGTTACCGCTGCCCACCTGAACTGCAGCCAGAAAACCACCATCGCCCACAATCAGGACACCTGCATCGCCCAGCGGCGACCATAAATAGACGGTAAACAGAAAGGGCCCCTTGCAGAAAAATGTAAGGAAACTATAAGCATTACAAACATTTAATTCCTAATTTTAACTAATTTTTGAAGAAACAGTAACAGATAACCAATCCGTATTTAATATTTCTCCAAGAAGGTTTTTGAAACTCTCTTGATTTTTGTTGGAGAAATGTGTCTTAGTAATAATCAAAGTTTGTTACTGAAGAATTAAAAAATGATGTCTAAAACTAAAAATATTTCTTTCGAATGAACCTGGAATAATTGTATGTTATCTAATGATATGATATAATATCATAATTGATACCATGATGTCTGAAACGATTGTTTAAAGGATATCAATTTTGTGATTAATTCCAATTTAAATAGTATTTTATTTAATTAACTATTAACTATTATTTAACTATTAACTATTCTAAAATAGCTTATAAACGTGCGAGTTTTGTTTTCCCTTCACTTGGTAATCATTTTGATAAAAATATCAACTTGGTAATCCTCTTGAGATTTTCAGTGTTTTGCTGTCCAATGTGCCGGTGCACTGGGCCAGCACGTTTAGAATTACAGAATTAGTGGGGAGCAGCACACGCAAACGATGGCAAACTCAACCCCGCCGCCACATTGTTGCCATTTTGCAAGCGGAAGTGCCTATTACATGACGTGCGTGCAATGGAAATGGCCGAAATGGGGTAAGTGGGAATGGGGTGTTTTCAGGGATGCAACGCTGGGAGTAAGGAGGGGTAAATTAACTTTGCGGCTAGTTTGTTGCTCGGCAGACCAGCTGGCTATGTCAGCACCTTCAGCTTCATGTTTTCAATTTGCGAAATTGCAACGTTGCATTTTGGACGCGACTTCATCAGTGGCGCTTAGCGGTGCTTTTGGCCGCCATTGGCCGCTTTTCACCCCCACCCCCTCTGACCCCCTTTTGCGTTTAAGGCATTGGCAGGACAGTCACGTAGCGGCTTTATACACACATACACAAAGTCTGCCGCATTGCTGTTGCACTTTATAAGCTTTCAACGGCTGCCGCTTCCCAGAGGACATTTTGCCTTTTTGGCTTAACAGTGGAAAATGCGCCCAAGGCGAAATGAAGAGGAAGGGGGTGGGGTTGAGCCTGGTGTTGACATCTACCCACCATTCCACCCTCTTTCCAAACTATGTTCATGTTGTGGTAATTCAAAATTTACATTTCCCACATGAACAGGGCCTCCCCGAAACATTTTCTTAGACAATACTTGTTGCATAATAATTGCTTGGATGCCTGGGTTAGTTTGGAGAACCTTCAACTGGATTTTCAAGCGAATTGCAGTTGCATTTTAAAATTTTAAAGTCATACCAAGTATTTTTTAGCCAATAACTCCTTTTAGATTTATTTTCTTGTATTTAAAAGTATAATTTTAAAACTCATTTGAAATCTTACAGAATATATTTTAGAAAGAACTGACTTTTGATAATCCAAATAATTTCATTAAAATCTAGATAAATTTTTAGCCACGTTAATTAAACCTGGAGATG